TTGGGGTCACCACTGTTCAGATGGTTGGAGTCACCACTGTTCAGATGGTTGGGGTCACCACTGTTCAGATGGTTGGAGTCACCACTGTTCAGATGGTTGGAGTCACCACTGTTCAGATGTTTGGGGTCACCACTGTTCAGATGTTTGGGGTCACCACTGTTCAGATGGTTGGAGTCACCACTGTTCAGATGGTTGGAGTCACCACTGTTCAGATGTTTGGGGTCACCACTGTTCAGATGTTTGGGGTCACCACTGTTCAGATGTTTGGGGTCACCACTGTTCAGATGTTTGGAGTCACCACTGTTCAGATGGTTGGGGTCACCACTGTTCAGATGTTTGGAGTCACCACTGTTCAGATGGTTGGAGTCACCACTGTTCAGATGTTTGGGGTCACCACTGTTCAGATGGTTGGAGTCACCACTGTTCAGATGGTTGGAGTCACCATTATACCACCCATCACTGCATTTCATTTGCCATCATGTTTCACAGATGTATTAAAGTGACTGAATAAAGTCGTTACGTGTCCTCACAGCTGAATCGAGAGCTTCAGTTGGATGTTCCGCCCGTATTAAAATGTTGAAGCCATCAGCAGATATCGGCTCGAGCGGGCCCCGGATGTTAGCTTGTTGAAATATTCGCGTCTTTTACATACATCCATATAAAAACAGTTCAGTCTAATACACAACATGTGGCCGTCACTTACCCCCTGGGTTAATCCGAACACTAAAATCCTTTCCAAGTGGCTGTGTTAAAAGCCAACGGTCCTCGCCTCCCTCCTGCCTCTAACGTGTCCAGACCTGGATGTGACTTCTGCTGTATCAGAAACAACATGGCCGAACGTCACCAAGCCAAACTCCGCTACGGCGGCCGAGGAGGGACAAGCATTAAAGTTCAACAAAAGACCGGAGCGGTTATATGAAACTAATTTTAAAGTTAATCAGATTATGTTAACCAATTTTAAACAAAACGAAACAGGGGGAAAATGTAATTGTGAAAAAAATGGATAAATTAGTTTGTAAATTTATTTATGCAATATATTTTGTTTAGTATACCTGTGTTTTTTTGTTTGTTTGTTTGTTTGTTTTTCTTTTGGCTTCTCCTTCAGGGGTCGCCACAGCAAAGTTGAACAAAGATTTATTTATGTGTAACCTGTTTGTCAGGAGCAATGAAGTATCTGCACGTTTAATCAGTCATAGCTGAATACTAAACTCATTCTCATGATTGTTTCCTCTGTAAATCTTTGGCGTACAGCCATTAAATATATATATATATATATATATATATATATATATATATAT